AATGCCCCAAACGTCGAAGATTTCAACTTCCATGATGTTGTTCAGTGGCATTTCATGTCTTTTTGATATGTTCCCCGTTCTTTGGCAACGATCACAAGATTCCACGAATTTTCTTGCATCTTTATATAAAGGGGCCAATAGAATCCACTCGTAAGAACTTTTGCAGTCGTCCTTTCTCCCGCGAAGTGGCCTCCGTAGTCTGAGCCGTGACAGTGCCATAGAACATCTTTCATCTCTTCTTCAGGGATGCATCTTCTAATGATTCCATCAGAACATGTGTAGAATAGGAATGGTTCATCCCACAAGTATCTTTTCACATCGCGAAGAAACTTTTTCCGTTGTTGCCATGAAAAATCTTTAGGAATTGTCCCAGTTGCTTTGAAATTTGCAAAGTCTGCAAACCATGGTGCGATGTCTACTGCAAGAGCTTGCTCATTCATAAACCATGGAAGTGTGCTGACTGAGAGAACTTGCTCATCTGGAAACTCATCTCGGATTATCAATTCTGAACTATCTTGAAGTTCTTTCTCTTGAAGTCTAGAGAGATGATCAGCTACCCAGTTCTCTACTCCCTTCTTGTCTCTGATTTCTATCTCAAATTCTTGAAGTAGAAGCATCCACCTAAGTAGTCTCGGCTTAGCATCCTGTTTAGTCAATAAGTATTTCAAGGCAGCATGGTCAGTATACACAATAACTTTAGATCCTAGCAAATAGGTTCTAAATTTATCAAAAGCATATATAACAGCTAGTAATTCTTTCTCAGTAGTAGTGTAATTTAATTGTGCTTCATTTAGAATTTTACTAGCATAATATATAACATGCAAGAGTTTATCTTTTCTTTGACCTAAGACTGCACCTATAGCATAATCACTAGCATCACACATTAATTCAAAAGGTAATTCAAAATTCGGTGAAGTGATAATAGGTGCGGTAGTCAATTTTTCTTTCAAAAGATTAAAAGAAATCAAACAATCATTGTCAAAGTTGAACTCTTCTTCTTTGGCCAATAATTTGCAAAGGGGTTTGGCTATCTTTGAGAAATCTCTGATGAAACGCCGATAGAAACCTGCATGTCCAAGAAAACTACGCACACTACGCACATTAGAGGGAGGGGGAAGTTTTTCTATAAGTGAGATCTTTGCTCTATCAACTTCAATCCCCTTCTCTGAGATTTTATGGCCTGAGACTATTCCATCTCTTACCATAAAGTGGCATTTTTCCCAGTTGAGTACTAAATTACTCTCTTGGCATCTCTGCAAAACACAAGCTAAGTTAGTGAGGCAAACATCAAAAGATGAACCGAAGACAGAAAAATCATCCATATATATTTCAATAAAATTTTCAATCATATCAGAAAATATGGATAGCATACACCTTTGAAAAGTGGCGGGTGCATTGCATAACCCGAAGGGCATACGTCTGTAGGCAAACACACCGTAGGGACAGGTGAAGGCTGGCTTCTCTTGATCTTCTAGAGCAACCGCTATTTGATTGTATCCGAACTAGCCGTCAAGGAAACAATAATATGAATGTCTCGCTAGCCTCTCCAACATTTGATCTAAGAATGGTAGAGGGAAATGATCTTTTCTCGTAGCAGCATTAAGTCTCCTGTAGTCGACGTACATTCTCCAGCCGGTAATAGTTCTTGTAGGAATCAACTCATTGTTTTCATTACGTACCACTGTGATCCCACCTTTCTTTGGAACTGTTTGTACCGGACTCACCCATGCACTATCAGAGATTGGATAGATCATACCAGCATCCAAGAGCTTCACGACTTCTTTTCTCACAACTTCTTTCATAGTTGGATTCAATCTTCTCTGTGGTTGTCTGACTGGCTTCACATCATTCTCCATCAATATTTTATGAGTGCAAAAGGATGGGTTTATTCCCTTCAAGTCTGTAATGGACCATCCTATAGCTGTTTTGTGCTCTCTTAACACTTTCAATAATTTTTCTTCTTCGACGGTTGACAAATTTATGTTGATGATCACCGGGTATGCCTTGCTTTCTCCAAGAAATGCATATTTCAAAGTAGGAGGAAGTTCTTTCAATTCAACCTTTGGTGCTCCTTGAATGATATCATCAACTCTCTCTTCTAGCTTTTCAACCTCTTGTCCTCCTTCTGTTGCTTCAGTTGTATTGTGCAGTAGATCTTCTTCTAATGACTCCAATTCCATTAGTGGTTGGAGTATTTCATCAACGGTATCTATCACCGCATCATTGATTATATCAACTTTGAAGCAATCTCCTCCATCAAAAGGATGTTTCATGGATTCAAAAACATCTATCGTTACAGTTTCATCATTAACCCGTAACATCAACTTCCATTGCTCCACATCAACCAAAGCTCTTGCAGTGGCTGAGAAGGGTCTTCCCAACAGTAATGGGATTTCAGCATCTTCTTTCATGTCTAAGATGACAAAGTCTGCAGGGAATACGAATTTATCAATTTTTACCAAAATATCTTCAATGACTCCATCTGGCCTTTTGGTAGATCTGTCAGCTAACTGTAGTGAAACTTTTGTCGGTTTCAGTTCATGAATACCCAGAGCCTTGCAGATGGATAATGGCATAAGGTTTATACTGGCTCCCAAGTCACATAACGCTTTTCCCACATTGACGTTGCCAATTTCTATGGGAATGCTGAAACTTCCAGGATCTTCAAGTTTTGGAGGCAACTTTTTCTGAATTATAGCACTACACTCTTCCGTCAACGTCACTGTTTCACATTCTTTCAATTTACGTTTTTTTGATAAGAGATCTTTCATGAACTTTGCGTAATTCGGCATGTTCTCCAAGGCTTCAGCAAACAGAATATTGATTTGCAGCTTCTTGAAAATGTCAAGGAACTTGGAATACTGCTGCTTTTTAATTTCCTCTCTGAACCTCTGCGGATATGGAATTTTTGCATAAGGTGAGAGCTCTAATGGCTTTTCTTGTCTTTCTTGAGCTTTCTTTTTCTCTCATTTGGACTCTTTCTTTTCAGGAACAACTTTCTCTGCAGCAGGCTCTTTGTCAACTTCCTTATCTTTTTCTTCTTCAATGGCAGGTCCCTCGGCTTTCTTTTTCTCTACTGAAGGCTTAATCACAGGTTCAATTACAATGCCACTTCTAGTGGTAATGGCCTTGCAGTGTGCGTTTGGATTAACGTCTGTATTACTCGGGAAGGTGCCTTGGGTTCTTTCGTTGAACTGCCTTGACAATTGACCAATCTGGGTTTCAAGATTCCGGATAGAGGCTTCTTGATTCCGGAATGAGGCCCTGGTCTCTTGCATAAAGGTTGAAGTGTCTTCCCTGAACGCATTGGTACTTTGAACGTAGTCTGATGTGGTCTTGGATAGTTGTGCAAAGGCCTTCTCCCACTCTGATTGTTGTGGAGGTTGCTGTGGTACCGGCATAGGAGGATTTAGCTGATGATTCGAACTATAACTGAATCCTGGGTGTTGATTTTGATTTTTATTTCTCCATCCTTGATTCTGGTTATTGCCGTATTGGTTCCTCCCTGGATTATATGGAACTTTCTGATCATGCCAAATTCCATTAACATCTGCAGTTTCGGGTGCCTTGCAGTCATCAGTAGCATGAGCACCTGCACAAATATCACAAACAATAGAAGAAGTATTAACAGAAGCTACTGGAGTATTAACAGAAGAAACTTGAAAATCAGAAAATTACTTTGTGAGAGCATCTAGTTGTTGTTGTTGTTTCTTATTAGACTGTAGAATCTGATCATTATGGGCCAGGATGGCATCATAGCCATCAAGTTTCATAATCCCCGCTCTTCTCTATGGTACGGGAGCATTGTCATACTCCTGAGAGGCTAGAGACTCTAGTAATTCCAAGGCTTCCTCTGGAGTTTTTGTTTTCAAGGACCTCCTGATGCAGCATTCACCAATGTTCTTGTGTTGGGCTTTATCCCTTGGAAGAAAGTTCTCGCTTGTTCCCAGGCTTCAATGCCATGTTGGGGACACTTCCTGAGTAGTCCTTTGAATCTTTCCCATGCTTCATATAGAGATTCACTTTCTTTTTGTTCAAAAGAAGTGATATCCGCCTTGAGCTTTGCCATTTTCGAAGATGAGAAAAATTTGTCCAAAAATTTGGTTGCCAAGTCGTCCCAGTGAGTGATGTTTCCTTGAGGTAACGATTGCAACCATCCTCTTGCTTCGTCTTTAAGTGAACAGGGAAATAATCTGAGCAAAATAGCATCCCGAGACACCCCATTCATCTTCAAGGTATCACAATATAGCAAGAAGTTTTCCAGATGGATGTAAGGGTCTTCCGTGCTTCCTCCGGCAAATTTCTTTCTGAATTAATTGTAAAAGTGCCGGCTTGAGTTCAAAGTTGTTAGCATCCACGTTTGGTCTAACAATACTCGCCGTCTGTGGAACTCGAGTAGGAGTCATGTAATCTCCCAACGTTCTCGGAGGTGGTGGAGGTGCATTGTTGTCTCCCATTTCTTCTTCTCTTGGTTCTGTTGAGCTTGAAGCTTCTTTCTCTTCCTGTCTTCTTTCTTTAGCGAGTTTTCTGTTTCTTTTTGTTGTTTTCTCTATCTCCGGGTCGAATTGCAAGGAATCGGTGTCAACGGTACCTCGCATAAAGCAGAAAAATAGATTATATAAAATAAGAAAATAAAATTGAATTTAAATAACAGAAAATTAAATAACAGAAAATAAGGTCCAATCTAAAGAATTAATAGCTACTATTAATGTTGAAATAGTAATCCCCGGCAACGGCGCCAAAAACTTGTTGGGCTACTCACGGCAAGTGCACCGATCGTACAAGTAATATAATGATTAAGTAAGAGATTGTTCCCACGAGGATTACGGTTCAAGCACCAATTCACTATCGCAACTTAAGTTGGACAATCAAAAGTGTATTTGGAAACAGGATTTGAATTGCAAAATTAAAATATTAAATATTAAAGCTAATTACTTGCAAGAATTAAAGACAAGAAATTAAATATGTGATTTACGAATGTAAAAGAACGTAGCTACGGGTTCGATTTCATTTAATCTCCTTATTACGTTTGAATTCCTTCTTAATGTTAATTGTCCTTAGTATCAATCTAATCAATTCTTTCGCATGTTATTAGAGTTCAATCCCTTGTTACTCTAAAACCTTTACAATATTGGAAGAACCCTAGTTCCCCGGTTATTCCCCAAGCATGCAAGCATTAAGTTCAAGAATCTTAAAGATTACGCAAACCCTATGTCTATCCCTAGAATCATAGCGTTTACGATGAAGTTATCAGATATGGATCACACACCAACATTCCTATTGTCATGCATTCACCGATGATCAGTATATAAGATTCAAGCCTATATAAAGCATTAAAAACAGATAACTTCATTCATGATATAAAGGAAAATTAACACAACGAATTGTTCCAAACATAATAAATCGACTAAAATCCATCTAACCCTAACTACTTAAAGAACTAGCCAGACATAGCAAAGTCAAGAACAAAAGAAACTATAAAAGCTCCCCCAAACTCCATAGGTAATTGGTAGATCTTCAATATCTCCAGTGAACACTTGATGTTGATCCGTCTCCGCCGCTCACGAACATGAATCTGATATTTCTCCGCGTTCCTTCAGCCTCCAAGCACCCAAGAGTTGTTTTGCAATGTAAAAGTTATGTATTTCTGGTCCCCAATGGTGTTTAAATAGGTCAAGAGTTCGTATTGCAGTAGAAAACTCGAATGGGCTTAAGTTGGACTTGTCTGGGCGCTTAAGCTTGTTGTAGCGCGCTTAAGCGCCCTAGGACGGTGATTTTAGATTCGCGTTGAGCGCTTAAGCGCTCTGGAGGGCGCTTAAGCGCGCTCCTCGCAACGATACTTTCTTCTTGTCCTGCGCTTAAGCCTTGAGTTGGGGGCTTAAGTGCCCAGAGGCAGTGGCAATTGCATTTTTGGAGAGCTTGAGCTTCTGAATGGGGGCTTAAGCTCCCTCTTCTAACAACTTGGGAATCTTGATAAGATCTTCAAATCTTTTTGTTTTGCTTTCCGTTTATCCATATCTTTTCTGATTTGATCTCCCTTTATCTAAATCTTTATATTTGAATCCATTTGTTATCAAATCCCTTCAAAAATAGCAAATATGCTATTTAGTTCCAACAATCAGATAATGTTCATGATTATCATTTTAAAACCCTAATTTTTGACTTGTTCAACTAGATAATTCATATTATTTTAGTCCATTAAACAAGATAAACTAAAGCTTTATCAAGCTATCTTGATCAATTGATAAAGTTGACACTGAGTTTGGTTGATATATTTGCTTATTCTGTTTAGTTTCAACATAGTTTGCAACTTTGTTTTGGTCCTCGTTTTTTATGATTTTAAGGAATTTTTAGGGGCTATTTTATCACTGATTTAAGACCAATTTTTTATGAGGCGGGTTATATTTACAAATTTTTTGTTTATAAACTTAATTATGTATTAAGGGTAGTACATAAGTTGTCTATTCACTACCCTTAGTACATAGTTAAGTTTATAAACAAAAAATTTGTATCCTCATTTTTTATTACATAAAATCTGCAATTATGGTCTAAGTGTTTTGTTAAAAAATGCATAAGTTTAGTTCAAAAGTTGTGTCATTTACATAGTTAAATTTCTATACTTGTGCTAGTAGTTGTTTAATATAGCTTGTGTTGAATTCTATCCTATCTAAGTATCGCCCTTTACATGTTAATAAGGACTCCATAGGACCATAATTGTTGTGTTGATTGGGTCACATAAAATTTCCTATTTCCTATTTTGTTTTGTTTTGTTTTTTTTGGGAGAGGAAAATATCACATAAAATTTCCTCACCTTGGGAATTGAGTGAAATTAAGTTACATACCATCTTCTGATAAGTGAACCTTGTTAACTTGTTTCTAGAAAAGTTGCATAATTTCGATGTAGAAACTTATGTAGCTCCGGTTATAATATAAAACAGGAGAGTTTAATATTCTTATCTCATTGAAAACAAGGATATTTGATGATATTTTGTTTGCTAACAAGTTCCTTGAAGTATTGGCATATTTGGCATAATTTCATTATTAGTTGATTGAATTTTGGATAATTTTTGGTGTGATTCAAGGGCTGTACATTTGATGATATTTTGTTTGCTAACAAGTTCCTTGTTTGTTGCATACTTAAATAGTATCTATAGCATTAAGAGAAGAACGACTTTGTAATTGTTTACTAAAATCGAAATGTTACGTACTATTGCCAAAAACATTGCTTACGATTAAAATGTATCTAAGAAAGTAATTTGCAAAAAATATTATAAATTAAATAAAATGAGCATTAAGTCTTATATCTGCCTAAATTTATGGCCGGTTTGGATGAAATTTTTCTCTCCAAAAACTATTTTTTTAAATGAAAAAAAACACTACTCATAAAAAGTTTATTTGGATATTTGCTTTTAAAAAAAATAGAATTCATAAAAAAAGTTAAAAACTGTTTTTTTGAAAGATAAAAATTTTAGTTTCTAAAAAAAAAAACATTTCAAAAGTCAAATATTTTTTTAAAAATCTAAATAGCTTTATTTTTTGTAAAAAATACTTATAATAAGCAAGGCATAATAAACACTTTTTTCGAAAGCCCATCCAAACAGGTTTTAAGTGTACAGAAAATCATAGTTTAGTAATAACAAAAATCATAATTAAACAGTATACTCATATTATTAAAAAAATGACTTTTGAAATATCGGTAACTATATTTAAATTATTTCGATGATACAGTGATAATAAATAAATAAAGGGAAAAAAGTTTCCGATGTTACTT